ACACACACACACACACACACACACATATATATATATATTGAAAAAAAAAACTTAAAAAAATTCAGTAATAAAACTAGATTAATTATTCGAATCATAAAATGGCTATTTATTAAGTTTATTATAAATCTTCTTAAATTTATAAAAATGCAAAATATTATCATAATAAGAATATAGTAACATATTTAATTTTATATATTATTCTGAACTAACAAACTACTAATTTTATCTCTTGTACAGTGGAAATATAAATCATTGTCTTTGGTTTCAACCTTTTTGACTATTTCATTACTGTGTGATTGAAAAATATATTTTCAATATTTAAACATGATTAGATATTACATTAATATTTGGAACTTTCACAAATTTTATAAACTGAATCGCCTTATCCAATAGCCTATATTATTAGAAAAAAATAAGGGAAGAAATTAGTTACTAAATTATTTACAAACTGTTGTATTTAATCGTTGCAACTTTAAAATTTATAAAAAAAAAATACTGCCAATATAAAAAGATTCTAATATACTAATTCTAAGTTATTGATACAATTATCAATTTTTTACTCCGATAATTAACTTTTAAAAATCAATTTTTCAATTTATATGACAATTTGTAAAAATAATTAGACCCTTAAGTCTTGTAAATGTATTTATGTTCTATTTTAAATAATTTATTCATTGTAAATAAAACTCCATTTAAAAAAATTGACTTATGCTTTATTCGCAAAAACGAAATTAATTCATCATTTATATATGAAATTTAGAATATAAGTAATTACATCAAATGTATAAAAAGTGCTGTTGTTGATATAAATATAAATCATCAAAATGATTCAAACTGTGTTTTGTAAATGTAGTGAAAAAAACAGATATTAATATTATAGAATGTTGCGCAGATAGAATTGTCAACTTTGTAAAATGCGATCAATCAAAGAAAATAAGACGAATGTATGAAATAATAAATTATATGTTTATTCATCATTTCTTAACATTTATAAAAAATACATTATATCTGCATATTTTACATATGTTGCGTACCTATAACGGTGCCGTGATAAGTGGCTTTTATTCCTATTGCCAAATAATTTATACTTTTATAGAAATGTGTACACAATATGAGAGAGATAGAGCGAGACAGGGAGAGAGAGAGAGAGAGAGAGAGAGAGAGAGAGAGAGAGAGAGTGAGCGAGCGAGTGAGTGAGTGAGTGAAAAAGCGGAGGGGGCAAATTTCTATATTAATTAAATTGATATATTAATTTATTTAATATTATTTTTAAAAATATTTATTTTTTTATTTTTATGTATGATTATATGTATGTTCAAAGTAAAAGAGTATTGAAACATTAAAAAGTTGCATTCAATTATTTTATCCCATATCCAATTTCCTCTTTATAAATTTATATTTAAATACCAATATTCGTACTAGTATATAATACATTAAAATAATCATAATAATCATAATAATCATAATAATCATAATAATATAGAAAGTCTTTAATGTATTAATACGCAAGACGAATTGATCTTTTTGGTATATTTAGTAGATATTTTACACCAATAAAACTACTATAATTATGTAATACTTTTATAATATTAGTATTATTACTTTTTTTAATTTAATTACAACATGATACATTTTTTTCATTTAAATTTATTAAACAGCGGTACATTCAATAGATTAAGAAACACTGAAAATAAATTTTATTATAATATCAATGCCATTAAAATTTGTAACTATCCATAGGATTCAATTGATATTAAAAGATGTAGAGTAAAATACGTAGGCGAAAGTCTAAATACGTATACACTAGATTTTATAACAATTGCCGTTATTCATTTACTTGTAGCTAGAAATTGATTGATATAAATGATTGTATATGAATCATTTCTCTATATTATTTTCGATCTAGACTTAGTCACACGTTTTTAAAAGGTAAATTAAGAGGAGTATGATGTTAATTTAAGTGTAGCATTTATATGTATAAGGTCCAGTAACACTTTCAATCAAAATCATTCGACAGTCAATCATAACAATAAACTGATACGACAGCCACGAGAAAGTAGAATGATGTATGTTGTGATCTGGCGATTTCTATCTGAACCTCTTGGAACTTTTTAAATGAAAATAACATTAAGAACACACAAATTGCTTACCATAAAGTTCCCCTTATTCCGTTTCTCCCTCAAATATTTCGCCTCCTCGTTCTTATCGTTATTAAAAAATTAAAAAAAAACATACAAAAAAAAAAAAAAAAGCGAAAAGTAAAATAAAAATGATAATCATAAATTTCATAAAAACATAGTAACATCTGTAACGATCTGATGCAAAATACCGCATAGTTTAAATATCGCTAGGAAAAGACGAGACGCTGGCGTCATTCCAATGATACTCTAGAAAATTCACGAGGCCAAGCATGTATTTGCCTAGCGATGATACGATTGCAGGCGGATGCTGCAATATTAATTTTTCATAATTTCACAATCGCCACGCGTCATCAAAGCCGCTTTACCTTCTCGAGATTTGCGCTCGACAATTCACGACATTGCTCGTAAACATCAACGCATCGTGTGTCATCGGCCCTTCTTGCAACGATAATGACGCGACGCAACACAATCAGAAACGGTAACGACGACCTGCCGAAGATATCTCCTTCTGGCGCCACCTCCCACTCTTCTCATCGTACTACCCCACCTCATCATCACCCCTCCTGGATAATCATCGGCTTATTGCACGTACGGAGCGATCGGTAATTGCGAACGCATCGGCGGTAATCGTGTCGGGGGAAGCCGAGAAAAATGATTTATACGGTTAGAGCACACATACCGCCGCGAGTGAGTCAGGAAAATGAATTTTGTAATAATTAAATGGCGCAACAAGAG